TCGATTTTTTGTTTCAGATGATTCTTACGACCTGTAGGACGGTCGCCAGCGAGGTCCTTTTTTTTCGCAGTGGTCCACGGCGCACCATGCCCTACCTCGGGATTTTCATAAAATGACTTAAAATTTTTTTACAAGCAATTTAAAAGTACCATAAATATACCTGAAAAATTTTGAGTGTCTATATTTTTTACTTTCCTAAAAAAAAATCATGAAAATAGCCTATTTTTCGGCCTTACTAATGAGAATATACCCTTAATACTTTATTTATAAAAAAAAAAAGTATTCAACAGACAGAAATTGCAGCGAAATTGAAATTGATACGAACTGAGTCCTGAAACTTTTGTCCTATTGTTGAAGTAGTTTAAACTTTAACTCTAAAAAAAAACCAAGTAACTATAATGGCCGGTATTCATAGTCAGATCTTATATTCAAGACCGTCTTAAGTATGGTCCCCACACAGCAAATGTATCAAAAATATATCTTAGAGATATCTTAAAGATATATTTGGGATATGTGATATCTTTAGGATATCTATCTGATGTATTTCGGAAATCCTTGCTGTGTGGATCTTAAGAAGTCACGAACCAATCAGAGGGCTGCATTAGCGTCTTAAGACATTACTTAAGACGGTCTTGAAATAAGAATCGACTATGAATACCGGCCTATGACTCACAATATTTATTGCTTGCAGGCCGATTACGTTGAACTTCTTCATCTTCTGAAAGGTCGCACACGTGTCGTTCGTGTGCATCAAGAATATTGCAGAATATTTTTTTTACTTTAAAAAAATAAGATAACATTCGCTGACGCAAAAATAAATTCTTGACCGTATAAATGCGCGACGTTTAACGAATCGAATCGAGGCCATGCATCCTGTAAGGAAATTATAAGTACGTATAGTACATTACAGATTTTTTTATTTAACATTAGAGAAGTGTAAAAACGTAACAGTTACACTGAAATTACAGATACAGTGACGTCAAGAAAGATGAATCATCGATTGGAAAGCCTAACGGAAAGTGGACTTTCCTTCTCCCGACTCATGAAAAAAGTTGTCTTCTGGCATTTAAACCTACAAGTGCTCTTTACTTTCTGTTTCTTGATTTTTTTCATTCTTTGCAACCATTTATTAACAATCGTGAATTCTTCCCAAGCAAAACATAAAGTCATTATTTAACATTAAAATTACTTTAAAAGTAATTACGAAAAGTCACTTCAATTATTGATGATTTTCAATTATTAATTATTATCAATTATTTTTATTTATTAATGATTTTTTAATTAAATATTGATGCTTTCCAATTAATAATAATTTTTAATTATTGACTACATTTAAAAATTTATTTTAACGTTAAAATGATTTGTGACTTATATTTTTGCTTAGGTTATTGCTAGTTATAGTATTAGTATATTATAGTTATTACTAGTTATAGTTGGGTTATTACTAGTTCTTATCTTTTTCTGGTTAGAAATGATTAGTCGATTGATGTTGAATCGGTCAATCATTTCTGATAGTTCCGAAGTTCCAAAAATGAAAAAATAGAATAATAACAACGAGGCAAATAATGCGGTCAAAGTTTCATTACAAATGCTTTGAAGCATTTGATTGACTAATCAGAACAAAGAATTTTACAAATGGAAACTAATCAAAGAATTATTCGAAGCACTTGTAACAAATGCTCACTACCCAAAAAAGTAAGAAGCAAAGAGTGTAGTCGGTCTCACTAAGAATGCTTTAAAGCGCTTGATTTATTAATCAGAAGAAAGAATTTTTCCAAGTAATCAATCAAAAAATGCTTCAAAGCGTTTTTGTTAAACATTACGTTGAACCAAAGTGATAAAAAAGATAAAAAGTAAGAAACAAGAAGCAAAAGAGCATATTGCAAATTAGGCTTTATCCTCTGTAATTCATGAGCATCTTAATAAAGTGTCTCGATAAAGCAACCGCGATTCTAAACTCGTTTTACTAATTGTGAATGCGCGCTCGTCCTTGGCTCCTTGCGCACAGAACGAGGACGGGGTTCGCTAAACAAAAACGCAAACGGGAGAGCCATTGTTATTTTGCAATACGCGCGCGGGAGGAGGCATTTAACACGACTCGAAGGTTCCACTTTTCCCCGTCACGGTCACGGGAGATCGCGATATTGTTGCACGGCCTCCCATTGATGTTATAAACGAATATTTAATACCAATTACCCCGTTAATTGTCGCGGCTTATTAACCCCAATTGATAATCGCTGGTCCGGTGGACCCGAACATTTTTTCAATTGCGTTATGAAACATTGTTTATAACAAATATTTTCCACAACTTTACACAATTTTGAATTACACTGTCTTATTTCCTGGATTTTGATCTTTAAAATAAAAAAAAATCGTTCAATTATGTTAGCTTTAAATAAAGATACTATAACTGTAAGTATTGCATAATATTAGAACTATAGCCAGAATTTTATTTAGGAGGGGGAAGGGAGGGCAATTAGAGTTAAGATTTTTGAATCCGAGAGAGGACGAAGATAGTCGAGTGATGCGAATTATTGGACTGTTTTTTGTGTTAAAAAGTAAAAAAAAAGGAACATACAAAAAGTAAAAAAAAAAGAAAGAAAAATAACTTTATTTTTATTCTTAACATCAATAAACATTTAAGTTTTGTAAAAATCATTATTTTTAAATTTCAAGATAAAGTCATTTTGAATTTCTCTTGACTTGGTGTGTCCCTTGGAATCACATCTTTTATACAAAAAATATAATATTAATTTAAAAAATAGAAATGATCATTAATGATCGTTCAGTACTTCTTGGTAAGGAAATTATAGAGCAAAAATCAATTATTATTAATTACCATATTTTTTATTAAAGTGCATGGGTATCTTTGACGTAGGCGTTTATTTATCCTCGGATAACCCAGGAAGTTTGATAACCCGGATGAGTCACAGCTTGGCAATTATCTTTACCGGTGAGCTCAACACGAATTAGCCCAAGAAATTGCCTGGCAACTTCCTTTCCGGGGATTCCCCGACTCCCAATTCTCCGAACCAAATTGAAGTAAGCGCTTGCCCGCAATGCCCGCGAAACTCGAACGCAGTGGAAACGCAGGCGGAAACGCCGCGGGAAAGAGCCGGAGGCTACTGGAGGGAGACGTCCTTGATTGACAGCGTTAACATAACATATAAAGGAAACCGTTCTCGTCGTTGCAGGTCCAGACCGACTGACAGCGTTTGACAGACATGCCCGCCAACGAGGATACCTCCAACGACGAGACGTCGTTGCGAATGAAACACGAAAGAGCCGGTCCATCCGAGTCTTCGTGGCGGAAGATGTCCGAGGAACGTCCACGGGTAAATCCCTCGTCGACCCCGAATCTGCCGGGTCTCGTTAACGGCATCGAAGAACGAAAAGGAGCCGAGAAACGGGATTTCCGCAGCATGCCGCGTCGGGACGCTCACGAGAAGCTCTTCAGGGACTTCTTCGAGCTTGTGCTGCAGCGTGCCGTGTTCCAGGTGAGCTTTCAAGAGAGCACCCATATTTATTTATTCATTGATTTGAGCGCGATAATTCCAATTGAATGAAACAATGCGAGTTTTACAAATGTAAGTATATGGTGGAGTGTTTTGCATGTAGATTAGTTAAATATAAGTAAAGAAAGGCTGCGCATTAAAAGAGAAAAGATTTAGTATTTCATTATAGAGTAAAACGTTAGTCTATTTTTGCTGTATTTTATATTGATATATATATATATATATATATATATATGTTATTTATATTAATAATTTATACACATGCAAATTAAATTTTTAATTTATATTAACAATATACATATAAAATAATAAAAAATAATAAGAAAAAGATTCACAGGCAATTAAGAGTCAACGCGGTAATTAGTGTGTGTAAAGAATTTAATTATTTTTTATTGAGTTTTGATTGGACAAAAATTGTAAGAGTTTTTAGTTCAACTAATTAGTCATTGCTATTATTGTTTAATATATATATGTATAACTAATAAAAGTATTTGCAAGTCCAGACTCGGATATTTTCTTGAACTACGTTGTAAAAAATTGTAACAATTTTTCACAACTTTACATAATTTTAAGTTACATAATATTATTTCTCGCACGTTGACTTTCAAAATAAGAAAAAATCGTTTAATTATGTCAACTTTAAGATATTTCATTCAAAGTACAATGGACTCGCAAATACCAGTTATGGAAATTTCGAATACGCGATTAATGATAAATATAAATAAATATATCTATATATATTTATATTTTTCAGGTAAATATGATTTGCATATAAATTACATAAATATGCTTTATATTCTATATTACTTTTCATATTCACAACATCTGCAATGCATCAGATAACAATAGAGCATTAGTTTATTCTATCTGCGTGAATTTACGTATCTGTTTCTATAGAGAACGTTATCACGCTATCGTCTTTATTGCAACGATATCAAAAATCCATGAATGCGTGATTTCGCAATGTTACCAAAGATAAGTGAATCTGCAGTGGAAAAACATACTTTCTGGTATCAGATTCCTAACGTGACAAATGGTTAATAATCAATAAAGACTTTAACAGCTGACATTGTAGATGTCGCACGGAGGTGATTAGCGCGCGATTAACGTTCCATTTTTATGTGTTGTATTTAATGCTATTCCATTCATCACAATTTTTTACAATGTAGTTCAAGAAAATATCCGAGTCTGGACCTGCAAATATAGATTTTGCGCCGTTTGACAAGCATAATGGTAGTATTAGTAGCAGATTATAATAACAGGGAATAACTCGCCGGCAATTAAATCGCCAGTATTGATCTTATTATCATATATGTGCTGTACTTCTCAGCAAATTAAACACACACACACACACGTAGATCACATTAAGTGACTCGACCAGGGACACGTATCAAGAAAGTACGCAATCTTTAGCGAGAATGCATTGTCTCCCGTACTTAGGAAATGCGGCGTATTCTGCGAATTTATTTATTAAATCTTCGAGGAATTCAAGATCGAGGAATTCAAGAAAATAGTTTTTCCTTAATAGAAATTTTATTACATTTCTTTAAATTCCTTGTACTTTTTGATGTTATTCTTTAACGTTAAATATTTAACGTGATTAAACATCAAATTAAGATACTATAAATATATTATAAAATTATATAGAAATTGTAATCTTTTAAATAAAAAAAAAATTGTGTTAAGAAGGGTTACAAACCAAACAAACAAATTTTAATGTAAAATGATACAGTTGACATTAAATAAAATCAAACGTAAAAACAAAGATAATCTACATAGATCTAACGTTTTGTAATCTTTTATACATTTATTATCGTATTTTCTGTTTAGCCCACCTCTGGGGAGGATCGCGTGGTCGAATGGGTTGATCCTTACCATCTACGCTCCGTGGTCGACCTCTCATTGCCAGCCGAGGGTGTCAGTCATGAGGAGTTGCTAACACTGACGCGTGACATCATCAAGTACAGCGTGAAAACGGGCCATCCGCACTTCGTGAACCAATTGTTCTCCAGCCTGGACCCGTACGGGTTGCTGGGCCAATGGCTGACCGATGCACTCAATCCATCCGTCTATACCTACGAGGTATCTCCGGTGTTCTCTCTGATGGAGGAGGATGTTCTGCGAGAGATGCGCGCCATCATTGGCTGGCAAGGCGGTGAGGGTCTCTTCTGTCCTGGAGGCTCCATGGCGAACGGATACGCCATCAATCTGGCGCGTCATCATAGGTGATTATTTACCAGTTATTTCTCAAGGTATAGAGTAACTCCGGTATATACGCCGCGGAAGTCAGAAAAAATAGAAGGAGTGGGAGTAATTTTCTCGCAACTACTCTGTTACATGCCTTTATGTTATATTAGTTTTGAGTTATAATTTCAGCTTCTTATTGTTAATATTAATGAAATTATTGTGAGTTGAATCGATTTGTCACTGTGTGTGTAACAAGTAGCATCATAATAAATTATAATCTACATAAAATGATTACTGTAAGGCGTGTAAAAGACCTAGTGGTTATTTTGTGATACATACGTGTAGAGGAATAGTAAAGCATGTTGTATAGCAAAATACAAGTGCTTTGCTTTCGTATTCTTTGTTTAGTTTGTTGAAACCCTTGCATTTTTGCCATATATCCCACCCATTATCTATATATAGCAAAAATGCAAGATTTCAAAAAGTTCATTTTTTAATACGATAACTAAATATTTCGGATTTTTAATATTTTTTTCATAGCAGTAGACAGTACAAAATTCTTACTGATATAGTTCGTTTATTTTAAACATAGTAAATAATACTTAATAAATTACGTTTTTGATAAGTGCGGCGTATATACCGGAGTTACCCTATTATTAAGAAATTATGGATTTCATTATACAGGGCGTTCCAAAATGATCACCAAATTTCGTGAGCAGGTAGAGCAAACTAAACTAAATCGAAACCTCTACCATTTTGCAATTTTTGCAATAGTTAATAAGATATTAATTAAAAAAATAGCTGAATATTCATATTCAATAATTTTTTACTTAAGTGAATGATTTATTATCAACTTCACAAAAAAAAAAACAGCAAGAGATAAAAATTGTTTATTTTCTTCTCATAAAGTCCTGAGAATTTTTTCAAAATATTTTAGTATCTCATTTTTCTATGTTGTGGTAAAAATAGTTGTTAATATAAGAAAATGCAGTACTAAAAAGTTGATAAAAAATTCGAAAAAAATTCTTAGAACTATATGAGGAGAAAATAAACAATTTTTGTCTCTTGCTATTTTTCTGTAAAGTTGATAGTGCTTGAATAAAGAATTATTGAAAACCAACATTCGGCAATTTTTTGTAATTACTGAGATAACGTTTATACGGCACAACGTTGCGAAGTCGTAAAGCTTTCAAACGTTACGCCGTGCATACATGTTACACTCATGTAAGACATCATGTATTGAAATTCGTAATAAATAAATCATGCAAACAACACGTTAACTGCACGGAGAAATTTTTATATTAAGTTTTAATACAATTTTAAATTACACTACTATATCTTGTATTTTCGATAGACTCTCACAACATGATTCTGACTTAACTTTTACTATGGTAATACTAATTTTTATCACATAAATAAAGTAATTATTTTGTTAAGCCATATTCTAACATGAAAACAGTTAATTTTTACTATGCTACGCAAACAAAATTTGCTAGGTATATTCGATTTTGTAATAAAAAATTTTTACTACGAAAAAGTGTAAAAATTACGTTATATTATTGTTTTTAAAAAATTACTATAGCATTTAAACTTATAATTTACATGAAGACCGCAGCTACTACCACATTATAGTAATTTTAAATATAAAATTTTCTCCGTGTCCGCACTACGTTATGCTTTATAGCTGACATGCAGTTATGTTGTAGCTGCACGTTGACGATGAATAATACAAATTCTCTTTTTGGAACAGCACGGTAAGAGTACAATCCTGTTACGACATGTAAAATTTTTATTAGTTTTCATTCTTAGAGCCTAATTATAGGAATTTATTTCATCACCATTGGCTGTGTTCAGCAGGTTCAACTGTTAACTCAGTCAGAAATGATGGAATCGACATCGAATCGATGTCGATTCGACGTCGTTCGACGTCGAAAGCATCGAATCGGCGTCGATTCGATGTTGATTCCATTATCATTTCTGACTGGGAAGTCGGCTGAACGCAGGCATCCCAGATACCGCAGAGGGTTCAAAAGAGTTAAAAAAAAATTCAATGATATGTTATCAATTCTGAGCTCATTTCAGATGCAACAACAATTCTTTTCAGAAAAAGAATTCTTTTTGCATTTGAAAATGAATTCAGAATTCATGACATATCACTGAATTCTTTTTGAATTTTTTGTGCTATCTGGGATTTTATAAAAAAAAAAGAAAAAATTTTTACTGAGAAATTTCTATAGGACACAGCGAAGTTCACTTTCTCGCATTAAAAAAATCACGTCGAATAGGATGAACAGCGCAGTATGATGAGACTTCTCAGTGAAAAATTTTTTTCTTTTTTTTTTTAATAAAATGTCTGCATTTAGCAGACTTAAGGCTTTTGAGTAGTCACCACAGCCATATTGAATCAGAAGCGAGAAATGATACGTTAATTTTTATTACGATTTAGATAAAAAAGATTAGATTTAGATAAAACAAAATGATGAGATTGCTTTAAAACATTTGTAAAAATGGACTAAAACAGTGTTTATCGCTCCTGATGACAATCAGTAAATAATCATAAAAGGCATGTGTAAGTGAAAATAAACTATGCGCATTGAATAAAAGCACTTAATGTGCCTTTTATCACTTTTTACGATTATTTATTGACTATCAGGGGGGGATAAGCATACACGGAGAGAATTTTCTCTTAGAATTTAGCCCGAAAATCATGATAATAGTGGGACAACATAGTATTTCAAAGATTATATATGAGTTTCTTTAATTTACTAATATGTGTCATAATAAGATATGTAATATATTTTATTAATTTGACTAAAGGGTATAGTAAAATTTCAACATTTTAAAATATGTTACGCAGTTTATGATTCTTTATTATTTTAAAAGAATAGATGCTAAGTAGTCATGA